GCCTTCCGGCGTTTGTTTCGTCATTCACTTGCACACGTGTTGTCGTTGAGCCTCCGTTTCGTCGAAGTCTCTGTGATCTGTGATAGTTGGCGCACTATCCTCCCACCAGATGACGCTGCAATCGCTTCAGTCCACCAATGACGTTCGAGGTGAGATGAGATGTGGTCGCACATTGTCCAGCCTCCTGGTGGAAGTATGCCTTGGTTGAGTAAACACGGTGGTCCTGGTCGACGTCGTCGTGCGTAACAGTGCGTGCTACGAGTATGTATGTACGCGGCAGTGCACATCGCGCTTGGTCTTGTTGTTCTGTCAGGTGTCCTCGTTTCGTCACTGTTGCCGATGCTGCCGTCACCGACTATGTATGAATGAATGAATGAGCTTCCACTGTGACGATGCACCAGTGACCGACCACCGATCGACCGAACTGACTGCCTAAAAGTATTTCGCGCCGTCGTCGTCGTCGAATGAACAGACATCGGCACCGTAACGATTCGCCAAGGGGGAACAGTAACAAGGAGGATCGAGATCGACGGCAGTCGATCGCCTCCTCGCGAACGCCGGTCTTTAAGCTGGTGGTGGTAGGCAACGGCGGAGTGGGGAAAAGTGCGCTGACCATCCAGTTCATTCAGCAATATTTCGTGACCGACTACGACCCGACGATCGAGGACTCGTACACCAAACAGTGCATCATCGACGGCGACATCTGCAAGCTGGACGTGGTGGACACTGCCGGACAGGAGGAGTTCAGCGCCATGCGCGAACAGTACATGCGCAGCGGCGACGGATTCGTGCTCGTCTTTTCGATCACCGACCGCGCCAGCTTCCAGGAGATCTGGCGCTTCCACCAACAGATCCTGAGGGTCAAGGACCGAGACTCGTACCCTATGATCGTCGTCGCCAACAAGGTTGACCTCGACGACCACCGAGTGGTCAGCCAGGGCGAGGCCGAGAGTCTCGCCCGCATGATCAACGTCCGTTACGTCGAAGTGTCCGCCAAGTATCGCTTCAACGTCGATCAGGCGTTCTACGAGCTTGTTCGTCTCATCCGCAAGTTCCACGCCGAAGAATGCCCTCCGGTCATGCCTACCCCTCAGAGTGGATCCCGCCGTCGCAGACGATATTGCACTGTGCTCTAGCAGCTGCACCGTTTGGGCCGACCGACAGCCGTCATTCATTCAGTACTGACCACTTCACCACGCCAAACCTCCTGTCCGAGGACAGAAATCGAGCCTGAAACTGGTAGCCGTTGGGCACGCGTTGTAGTTACGATCCATGTGGTTGGTCCGCCGTTGTCCTCGTCGTCGATGCGCGTGAGGGAACCAACGACTGCGACGCGTCACCGTTAGCTGTTGCTGTTGTTGTTGCTGCTGCTGGCCGACTTCCAAAGATATGGCCCCTCCCACTTAATCGAACATCGGGTACCGAGCCTCCTCTTCCGGCGGCATCCTTTTGTTGGACCTCGTTTTCGTTTCGCGTCGCTGCTTTTCTCCACTTTATTATTATTGACTGTGTTTTTATGCATGATTAAATATTAGACGGACAACTGATGTAGCCAGTTACGTTTTTGCTTTGACGGACGCTTGCCATCGTCGCCTGCCTCGCAGTAACACCGCCTGTTCCCTTTCTGTGACTGACGTATTTTCTGAAGCCGAAGTCGGATTTATTACCCCTCACCGAACTCGCTTTTCTTGCCTCTGTCCATTAGCCGGTTTATGGCGCGGATCTAGGCCAAAAATAAACAGTCACAGTTACTGGGCGCATTGAGTTCAGTTCGACATGCGGCTTCATCCCACGGTGCCTGGAGTTCGTAAATTTCTTTGTTACTTCAGTATACTCTTTGCTTTGTAGAGAGGTAGAACTCAGTCCCCATGTTTTGGAGTAGTTACCACAGTGGCAGCTTGGAAACAGTTTAAAGCACTTCATTTATACACATCATCAGCAATATGCTCGTTGAGTGATTGACAAGTGCTGACTTTTAGGTCCGTGTCTCACAGACCTTCCTGGAGGTAAGGAGTTGGTTTAGTTTCAGAAGTCCTTCTTGTCGTCCGCAACGGCTAGGTTTCGTATGCTGGGCGCCCAGAACATCCGTATAAATAAATCGTATTTTATTCTGCTGTTTTCGGTATGACCACCAACGCGTGAGCGAAATATTCAATGTTCGAAGTAGGAAATTTATACCTCTAAGTGATTATTTTTCTACCTTACGCCTGAGGTTGACCGGCAGCGTTATTACATCGTTATCTAAATTTCAATACGTTCTCGACAGTGTCTCACAACCGGATAAGGGATTCCGTTTCGGTGTTAATTTATGCATGAGGGTAGAGTTACTGTGACGTTCAGCGTTTTACAGCCTAGCAAATTTCTTTGGATGATTCGAAACGATTTTTAGATTTGTCACTGAATTTCGTTTTTCGGCAGAGTCTTGATAAAATCGCTGTTTGCTGGTAACGCTCCGGTAGACACCTGCCAGCCGGACCGGCACCAGTCAAACTGCCTTCTCGTCGAACTACACTTTCACTTTCGTTCGTTTGTTTGCTTTGCATGGTTTTTCGTTCTTGCATTGAAACTGTCACATTTTCAACGTGACATCCTCAGTCATAGTCATCCTGCGTTTAAGGAGTGGATGGTCTGGTCTGCTGTACTATCTTCGTCTTAATCACGAATACTCGTGGACAACGAATTTATCACCCGTTACTTCACACTGGTGGTTTTTACTCGGTCGAGCGTCTGACTCACAACCGAGAGGTTCTGAGTTTGATTTGACTCCATTC